AATCGTTTTCTATTCGCTTCATAATCGTAACCCTCGTTTTCTACCACCACGTATTTGATACATTTTATTCACCATTACCATTTTAAATGGACCATCTTCAATTCTTAATCCCAACAGTTCAGACATTCAGTTAAGCCTCTCTGTATTCAGTCGCTACTTCCATAGCAAATGTTCCGACGGCCTAAATACTTAGTTCCACCAATTCATACCTTCTCATCTAAAGCACTCTCTACTCTATGGCTATTTCCATGGCAAATGTTCAGATAAGCTACATTCCTTTGTTCCACCAGTTCAGACATTTACAACTCTGAACTGACATACAAATGTCTTCTTTTCTTTTGTATTCTATGGTAAAGTCGGACAATCTATTTTGGTAGTTTCTAACCGTGAGCCATTACTTTGTTGAACAGTGTTTCGAAGGGAGGCTTCCTCAATTACTACAATCTTAATTCATTCACGTCTAGTTTCATCTGTTATCTATCCGACATATGCTCATAATCTTCTCTTCCGTTTCTTATGTACATAGAACAAATTCATTCATTAAACCTCACTGGCACTAGTATTAGGTGAACTTTAATATAAAAAAAAACATGCTTTAATAATTTCACTCCAAGCAACGCAATGAAGCCACAAAATGTGTGAATGAATACGAGAAAAAGAAAAATATTATTAAGGAGAGAGAACAATAAAAGAACAGAAATCAAGAAGACAGAAGATAATATTTGACATTACATTTAAATTTTTGAAGATCAAAGTTGACTGAGAAGCAAGAAGCTGGAAGCGAGTTCTACAAGCGAGAAATGCGAGAGAAGAGACTTTCAGCATAGAACTTACGGTTGCATCAAGTCATTTCAACTGTAAAATGATAAGACCTTGCAGTCAATCTTGAAGTCTAGGTACCAAAGAAGGAAATTTCTTCAGAGCAACTCATCTATTTATAAAAAGAGCACATAAACTCTACGATGCGGCGGCAGAAGAATGAATTTTACGGAGATGACAGGGAAGGACCCATGACGTTATTGTGGTCAGAGTCGTATTAAAAGAACGACTCAAGCAGTCCACGCCTCTTCTATTGGGCAAAATTTATTGAACAATCCCGACTGTGTCGCGGATTATAATGATACATTTTTTTCCATTTTACAAAGAGCTTGCTCGGTTCACCATCTTTGAGTTCTAGAGGCTGTTTATATTAAGTTCCATCAGCCGATCCTTTCTTAAAAAAAAACAATTCATTCGTTCCTTAAGATTGATTGAGGGAATATCAGTAAAATTTATCCATTTTATACTCTTTTTGGAAATTTGTATTTTGTTTTTAGCCGTTAATTTATTTACAATTAAAATCTATTTTAACCGTGTTCCAATTTCCCCTCATCATTCGCTATTTACACATGTGTCTTTGTTTGTTTTTGCTGCTCGCCAGCGTTCACTTTTTGAGAAAGTGTTGACAAAAAAGGGTCCCCTCAAATTACAAAAAATAATGACGCCCATTCTATTTAAGTATATATATAAACGTGAATTATGATTTTTTGCTGTGCCAGTAATTTTTAAAATAAGTTACTCCAAAATTCACTTGAGGATGAAATGGAACTAATGTCTTTAATTTAATTACAAAATTAAATTCGAAGCTTTTAGCTTCCATTTTTGAAACATGGTTAGAACTGTGTAGCGAAAAAAACACATTTTAAATCAATTAATTTATAATATTAATACTCTGTAAATTTACATTGAGCACTATTTTGTAAAAATAAAAAGATCTATAAGAACACCGGATTATATATCTTACTGTTCTTTTTATATATATATATATATATATATAAATATATTGTCATCCACAGACAGACTGTTCGCAGCTCATATCTAGACATCCAATTGCCTCAAGCCGGGATCGAAACCCGATTGATCTGGCATCAGTCGGAGCTTTTACCCCTAAGCGCCCGGTAGAGAAGAAGGCAGAGTTTTACGTACTTATTCTTCGAATAAACATGCCATTGGGCGAGAAAACTAAAGTCATAGAATAGCTTTGCAGTATTAGCAGTAGTAGTCCTTGTTTACATTTGCGATATATATGCTAAAGTCAAATTTCCCAGAATAATTCTGTGCAGATGACAAATTGTTATAAGAATGACAATTGGAAAAAAATCTTTTTGCCGACGCGTTTCGTCTTCCGACTTTATCAAGGCAAACAATGAAAGCGAAATGTTTTTGTTGTCATAGTTAAATCCAAAATTTAAAAATATATAATTTAAATATATTATCGACATGAAAAACAAAAACAAACTCTTAGTATAAAGGAAGTTATCATGAGCCAGAAAGCGGCATACACAGGAACGTCTCTCTCCTTTTTAAATTTTAGATTTAATGGAAGAAAATCGCTTTTATTATTTGCCTTGAGGAAGTCATAAGACGAAACGTGTCGGCAAAAAACAATTGTCATTCTTATATATATATATATATATATATATATATATATATATATATATATATATATATATATATATATATTCTTAATTTTTTATTCTTTAAGTGGTCAAAACCGCGTAGGTACTACGAACAATTTTGACATGCTTTTAGTCCGACCAAACGTAAAAATTTAAGCATAATAGAAAAGCTCAATAAAGTATTCATTGGATTTTCCTTGTTTCTCATCTTCAACTAAAGTTGACTGAGAAGCAAGAAACATGAAATGAGTTCCACAAGCAAGAAGTGCAATAGAAGAAACCGTTAGCATAGAACTTGCGGTTACATCTAGCCATTTCAACTGTAAACTGATACGAACTAGTTACCAATCTAGTAGTGCGCTTAAATTCGAAAAGTCGAAGGGACCATAGACGAAAGCCGAGCAGAAAAATTACTATGGAAAATGCACAGCAAACCTGCGTTATAGCGGTTCGAACATGAGTGAAGCCGAGATGCCAGATCAAGATTGGTAACTTTGCTGATTCTTTTTGGATTTTATCAAGAATCTTTGAATACATAACGGAAGCACAAGACCAAATGTGACAGCAATATTCAATACATTGACAAATGTCTGGCTTGTAATGTGTAAGATGGATTCTGGCGCGAAAAGAATATCTAATACAATGAACCAAATTTCCTATCAGCTGATGTAACAATTGATTTAATTTAATATTTCCAATCGAGAACAGTGGCAACCGTTAGACTTAGAAGCCGCATTGAATCGCGCTAGTGCAGGTTAGCATCAGCCATGCTGGAAGGCGGCAAAAGAGGCGGTTAATATCAAGAAGAGGCAGCTGAAATTCCCTGGACGGAGAAGGGACTGGAGAATCTGATAATCACGAGTCGAATGGAAGAGACAAGGGAAAACAGCACGTGATAAACTTGGCGGACTTGCGAAGATGGATGACAGAACGCAGTCTGGGGTGGGGGAGGAAGCAGAGAGAAGGAACTTATTGAGAGCTGCAAGGTATGGAGGGAGGTGGAGAGCCATGATCGCCTACGCCCTGAAATGACACAGCACATAAAAAGAAAGAATACGATTTAATGTCAACAATTTCGATTTGGAGGCGTTAAAGTTAACAAGATTTGTATCTGACACCATATTGTAGGTCATTTTTTAGATCAGCTCCCAATTACGTTGCAACTGAAGCAGATGTCAATTTGTAAATTATTATTTTATTTCACAGAAACCAAAGTAAGGGTTAGAAAAAATAAGGGTTAAAATGCTTTATATTTTATATGTAGTTGTCGAAGCGGTTCTCTCAAGAATATAAAAATAAATTTTCTATGAAGAAATAAAGTTATGCACCATTGGTAATCACTTGCGTGAGATATGAGATCCAATGATGACTGCATAATGCGCTGAGGCAGGGCTGGATTGATTGTATTAAAAGTTGTCATGGCAATATTGTTGGAATCGTGTTGTCTGCTTTGGAATTATGAAGAAGAGTTGCTTTGAAATGAAACGCAAAAGTAATATATGTACGTCATGGTGGACAGGAAAATGGGCAAATAATGGGAGTTTTGTTATTGTCAGCATTTAAAGATTTGAAGAGAACGAGAAAACGAATAACTGTTAAAGAGTGGGCGGGTAGTTTTGAAGAGGAATAATTATACATACATTTGCACCAAAATAAAGACTGGGCAATGCGAAAGAAAGAAACAGGGAAAGAAAAAGAAGTAAAGAAAGAAGGAAAGATAATGAAGCAAAATAAAGAAAAAAGGACCCACAAAAAAAGGAAGAAAAATGAAAAATAAAGAAAAAATAAAAGAGAATGAGAGAAAGACTGAAACTAAAAAATTAAGGAAGGAAAATGAAGAAAAAATAAGAGATAACGCGAGAAAGACTGAAACTAAAAAATTAAGGAAGGAAAATGTAGAAAAAATAAGTGAGAACGAGAGAAAGACTGAAATTAAAAAAATTAAGGAAGGAAAATGAAGAAAAAATAAGAGAGAACGAAAAAGAAAAAAAAACTGAAACCAAAAAACTTAAGGGAGGAAAATGTAAAAAAAAAGGAAGTGAGAACGAATAAGAGAAAGACTGAAATTAAAAAAAAAATTAAGGAAGGAAAATGAAAGAAAAAATAAGTGAGAACGAGAGAAAGACTGAAATTAAAAAATTAAGGAAGGAAAATGAAGAAAAAATAAGAGAGAACGCGAGAAAGACTGAAACTAAAAAATTAAGGAAGGAAAATGTAGAAAAAATAAGAGAGAACGCGAGAAAGACTGAAACTAAAAAATTAAGGAAGGAAAATGTAGAAAAAATAAGTGAGAACGAGAGAAAGACTGAAATTAAAAAATTAAGGAAGGAAAATGAAGAAAAAATAAGAGAGAACGAGAAAAAGACTGAAACCAAAAACTTAAGGAAGGAAAATGAAGAAAAAATAAGAGAGAACGAGAGAAAGACTGAAATTAAAAAATTAAGGAAGGAAAATGTAGAAAAAATAAGAGAGAACATTGAGAAAAGACTAAAACTAAAAAATTAAGGAAGGAAAATGTAGAAAAAAATAAGTGAGAACGAGAGAAAGACTGAAATTAAAAAATTAAGGAAGGAAAATGAAGAAAAAAATAAGAGAGAACGCGAGAAAGACTGAAACTAAAAAATTAAGGAAGGAAAATGTAGAAAAAATAAGAGAGAACGCGAGAAAGACTGAAACTAAAAACTTAAGGAAGGAAAATGTAGAAAAAATAAGTGAGAACGAGAGAAAGACTGAAATTAAAAAAATTAAGGAAGGAAAATGAAGAAAAATAAGAGAGAACGAGAAAAAGACTGAAACCAAAAACTTAAGGAAGGAAAATGAAGAAAAAATAAGAGAGAACGAGAGAAAGACTGAAATTAAAAAATTAAGGAAGGAAAATGTAGAAAAAATAAGAGAGAACGCGAGAAAGACTGAAACTAAAAAATTAAGGAAGGAAAAATGAAGAAAAAATAAAAAGAACGAGAAAAAAGTGAAACCAAAAACTTAAAAAACTTAAAGGAAAATGAAGAAAAATAAGAGAGAACAAGAGAAAGACTGAAACTAAAAAAATTAAGGAAGGAAAATGTAGAAAAATAAGAGAGAACGTGAAAAGACTGAAACTAAAAAATTAAGGAAGGAAAATGTAGAAAAAATAAGTGAGAACGAGAGAAAGACTGAAATTAAAAAATTAAGGAAGGAAAATGAAGAAAAAATAAGAGAGAACGCGAGAAAGACTGAAACTAAAAAATTTAGGAAGGAAAATGAAGAAAAAATAAGAGAGAACGCGAGAAAGACTAAAACCAAAAATTAAGGAAGGAAAATGAAAAATAAGCTAAACTTAAGAAAGGACGAGTGAAAAGTAAAAAGACAGAAACCAAAAAACAAAAGAGGAATGAAAATGAGAAAAAGAAAATAATATTAAAAGAGAACGAGTGTAAAGAAAAAGACAGAAACTGAAAAAGGAAGAAAGGAAAATAAAAAATAAAAGAAAATATGAATAGAGAAAAGAAAAAAGGTAGAAAGCGAAAAGGGAATGAAGGAAAGTGAAAAATAAAAAAAAATATGAATAAAGAAAGAGTGAAAATAAAAGGTAGGAAGCGAAAAATCAATGAAGAAAAATGAAAAATAAAGAAAAATTGAGAGAACGAGTGAGAAAAAAAAATACAGAAAATAGAAATCCCCAGAAATGACAAGATACACAATTTTTAGCTCTACCATTTGTCATCAATCCATAAAACTCATGCACAAACTTTATCAATGCTAATTAATAACCCCAGTGAAATTCCAGAATCGATCACTGAAAGTATTACACATCTCCAACAACAACAAAAATAAACGGTAGAAACAGATGATCCAATAACATGTCTGTACACCACATAAATTAATCACGTCTCTCCACATGAACTGTAATTACTCTTTTCTTGATGATGAAAACAACATTCTTCTCATTGAATAGAAGGGACATCGAAGAAGTCCATATGTTTGCAAACATCAAATATTGATAAATATAATGATCTTGGAAAATTGCATAGAAAAAATAAACCACAAAAGGCCCCTTAAATAAACAGAACACTCTTGATTCTTTGGAAATAGATTAACATAATGCCTTTGACTATGGACTGTAGTGCAACAAGGCTCTTGATTCCTTTGATATGGTGCAGATTCCTTAAGGCTTTGGAAATATACAAATTCCCGTCGCTGATAGTAAATTTTCTTAAATATAGCATAGGACTGTGGACTGTATACATAAACCACACCAAAGGCCCTACCACTTCCATTAACCTAAATATCCGACGAGGAATCGTTCAAAAACACTCCGTGACACACCTGTTGTTCATGATGACGGTCGTCTTCGAGTATAGAATCCAGAGGTTAGCAGTGAATATTTCGAAGACAGTAGGAAAGCGTTGTTCAGGTTAGCAGTGGATATTTTGGTAAAAGTAGCAGAGCGTAGTTCGTCCTTCTGTTTCTCTTCGCCTGACAAGCTGGACTGGACATTCGGGTAGAGTAAACAAAATGGCCGCCTTTATACACGACGGATTGAATATTTTACGTCTTCTGATTGGTTAACCTTCTATTGGTGGACTATAAAGTGAGTCAAGTCATTTGAGCTAACTCACTAGTTACATATACACAAAAAAAAACTGCAACAACACCTGCTCTGTCCTTAATCCTCCTTTCGCATGAACTCAACGCTAATTATGGATACAAGGTAAACAAGAAAATGTTTACTCACTTATTCTACATGAATGATCTCAAACTCTTTACTAAAAGATGACAATGAATTGAAGAGTCACCTCAATACTGTAAAATGTTTCAATGATGACATCGGTATAGACTTTGGATTAGATAAATGTATAAAAGTAATATTCAAGGAAAGGAGAATATTAATGAATACTACGGGCGCGTACGTCTGGTTATAAATACCTAGTTGAATTCACAAAACAGAATATCAGCGATAAATACTTCCGCTGTGCCAGTGATGCAATACAATTTCAACATCCTTAATTGGACCATAGCTGACATTAAGCAAATTGATGTCAAAACGAGAGAGTTTCTCACTAACCACCCCATACATCGTCGTAAGGCTGGTGTTGAACGTCTCTAAGCGCCCAGATCCCAAGGAGGATAAGTATTAGTTCAACTAGAACGTTCTTACAAAAGCACAACAATCGATATTTAAAGATATCTGGAAACTCCAGAAGACTGAATGATATTCTGTGTACATGAAAATAAATTATATTCAGTATTAAATGAAGCCAAAGTTATGTTTACAGGATTCAGAAATACTCAGTGGAAAATATCATGATGCCATTTCTAACCTTAGGTCTTAGGTTGGGACCCGGAAAGATATGAGTATATTAGGTGTAATAGCAAAATTGTCCAGTTGAAATTTTAAGTTTTGTATCTCAGAAATTATTATTTCTCCGAGGATTTATAACACTATATGAACTCTAAATTGAATAATAAGAATGTATTTAGCTCTAAATTGAAATAACGATCCCTCTTGCTTTTGTGACCTCCTGATCCAGTTTTCCTTTGTATCGTTCCCTCTTTTTTAAAAACTTATTCGCAGTTCTCTTGATTGTTATTCTATGGAATTTGAAGATGGAAGCCAGCGTATGAATCTTGGTGCCATTACTGAAGGCCTGAATGATCTTTTTCCTCTCACCATTGCTCTGTTGCGAAAACATAGTGGAGCTGACACAAAATGATTTTAACCTGTTCTCTTTCTAGCTGAATAACTTAAAGGGTTTTCCACTGATTCATACGACAAATGGTATCCACATGGCTAAACGTCTTATCTGAAAACCTAGAGAAAAGAAACTCAATTCGTTTAGTGCTTTTTAAATATGAATAATTACCCCATGTGGTTAAATGATTTGGACAAATTTGCCGTTACATCCGGTACACTGGAAATAATAATAATAATAATAATAATAATAATAATAAACACCACCACCCAGACCAGGTTACGGAGACAGTACTTGTGACAATTTTATGGGACTTGACAATGCAAACAAGCAGAACAATCAGAGCTAATCTTCAAGACATCGTGATTAGAGACCGCAAAGACGGCATGTGCCTCCTTACTGCCATGGCAGTCCCTGCAGACTGCAATGGATCCTTGAAGATCTTCAAAAAGCTATCAAAATACAAGGAAATCGAAATCTCAAAAATGTGACACTTGAGAACATGAACAATTCCTGTTATAGTTGGAGCCCTCGAATTGATTAGAAAAGATTCCAGTAGGCTTATTGAAAGGATTCCTGGCAGCCCATGCCTTAGGGAAATACAAAAAATTGTCATCACGAATACAGCGCACACCTTACGAAGGGCTTTATCTATGTAAAATATTTTTTTTTTAAATTGCACAATGGAAAATGCCACGATGCCATTTCTAACCTTTGGTCTCTGATCAGGACCCGGAAAGAAATGAGTACACGCCAGAAATCAAAGGAAATAATAATAATAATAATAATAATAATAATAATAATAATAATAATTTGGCATATGAAGACATTCAATAACTCCAGTAGGGTCCCTAGGTATGATTGAAATGATCCCTGACTGCTTCTGCCTTAACAAAATACAAAATATATACTTTACGAAGGCTTTTATCTATGTAAAATGTGTGTGTTCTTAGGATGTTTTATTTTTTACGGCATATCAACACCTCAATGGGTTATTCAACATCGACAAGATTTTTAGGATAGGTTCGTATTAAGAGAGTATGTATTCTTTGCACGAAATCAGTTTGTAGATCAGGTTTCATTGACGTATTTTTATAAAGAGGGTATTGCTGGTAATTTTTTTTCTTCAAAAATTTATCGCTGGTACTTTTACTATGACAGTCTATTTTTATACCTTCATGGTGTTTTGGCCCCAGTGTGGGTGTTAAACATTTGCCTATAGCTGGGACATCAACAGGTGTTACCACCCCGGGCCAGCATGGACCTGGGAACAGCAATTAAGAGGTAATTTCACGCTTCGCAAAACCACCTGATCAGAGGCCTTGATGCTGGTTGTAGTTTATCGTCATACCCAGAACGTTCACTGGTTCAAGCTCGAAAGGAAATGGATGGACAATTGAAACTGAAGGAAATTATAATAATAGTCGAGGTACTATAATGAAAAACAGAGAAATGCCGGAGATGAAAGAAAGTTTTTCATTACATGGCGTCGATTATATGGATCCGTTCCTTAGTTATTGGTTGGTAGACATTAGTTATCGGAATGTGGTTAAATTTGGCTTTGCACTGGTTCCATGTATAATGAGTCACAAAGAGACCTATTTGGAATTTATATATAGATCACAAATCTGAAATCTAGCTTGTTCCGTGTTTGTTTTGTGCTAGTGTTCCGTGATGAGTTTTACTTTTGAGATTCTTGTCATTATCTCGTATCTCGAACTGACACTTCGACACACAGCCACACACAGAAAGACAGAGAGATTATTGTTTCATCACTTTGCTAGTATGCCAGGAATTAATATTCGCTGACAGAATCTTAACAAAAGATAGGCGGATATATCTGTCTTGATGACAGACTCGGAAGGGAAACAGAAAGTCGTCTTAGACGATGTACTATAGATAAACAAAACGAAAGGCTTCTTCTTCTTCTTCTTCTTCTTCTTCTTCTTCTTCTTCTTTGTGCCGTAATCTCCAGGACTTGGGCTATCATGCATCTCCATAACTTCATATCCTTTCTAACTATTAGTAAGAATTTCCTTGTCAATATACCTCCCCTTTATGCCTTGTGAGTGTGAAATTTCCAAAGCCTTCTTTCCTCATTATGTTCCCGAGGAATTTCCACAGTTTCTTCCTAATTCTAAGTATGTGTCCTTTTTGTTTCCAATAAAACTTCTCCGTTCTCCGTCCTTGGCTTTTTCTCAGAGCCCTTCTGTAGAATTACAGCTCCATTGTCTCAAGGTATTAAAAGAAAGCATGACGAAAGGACTAACTACTAAGTGCAAGCGTTGTTGTCCCCACAAAAGAGACACCCTAAGTTGTTATCTTTATCTCATCACAAATGAGAATAGAACAGATATTACACTTTGATCTAGCCAAAAGGCCGAGAAGTGATGATATTTACTTGACCTCTCCACTAAGGTAGGGTGTGACGCAAGGCCTTTTTATTTGAGGCGCTCATACACATATATATGCACGTGGGCCAAGGGCAAAAATTGCCCAGTCCCCCGGCGACCACTGATATCCCACCGATCCCACTTCTCTTAATGCAATGAGGAAGGTGCTGTCGTAGGGTTAGAATCTCCAGGACGGGGTGCCTTCTCCCATCTCAAATGAAAAGCGAACAGATACTACGCTTTGATTCCAGCCAAAAAGACAGACAAATAATAGATTTCAAGAAGAAGAAGAAAAAACAACAGGTAGAGGGAGGAGGAAAAATGGTTGAAAAGGGAGGAGACGTAGAAGGATGAGTTGAAGAAGAATAAGGAGGAGGCGAAGAAGAAAAAAAGAGGAAGGGGTAGTAGAAATAAGAAGGAAGAGGAAGAGGAGAATAAGGCGCAGGAGGAGGAGATTTAGTAGTAGAGGAAGAAAAGGGTTGGAGGAGAAGTAGACGAAGAATAAGAGGATGAGACGAGGACGGCGAAGAAGAAGAATGAGGAATAGAAGGAAGAGGAGGAGGAGGAGAGGCGGAGACGAAGAAGAAGGAGGAGGGGCGGAGACGAAGAAGGAGGAGGGGCGGAGACGAAGAAGGAGGAGGGGCGGAGACGAAGAAGAAGGAGGAGGGCTGAGACGAAAGAAGGAGGAGGGCGGAGACGAAGAAGAAGGAGGAGGGCAGATACGAAGAAGAAGAAGGAGGAGGGGCGGAGACGAAGAAGAACGGGGGGAGGCGAAGAAGAAGAAGGAGGGAGTAGAAGGAGGAGGAGGAGGGAAGAAGAGAGCCTAGAAGAAATGGGAAAAGAAGTAGCGGTGGAAGAGGAGGTAACGAAGAAGGAAAAGAAACTGGGGCGAGGAGAAGAGACGAAGGAGAAGGGGGAGAAAACGGAAGAGGAGGCGGAGCCGAATAAGAAGATGAATAAGATGAATGGGGAATAGAAGCAGAAGGAGGGAGGAGGAGATGGGTGGAAGAGAAGAAGAAGAAGAAGAAGAAGAAGAAGAAGAAGAAGAAGAAGAAGAAAGGGGTTATAATGGCGGAGACGAAGAAGAAGAATAAGGCGAAGAAGTCGTTGGGGAGAATGAAAAGAAGATTAAGGAGAAGGAGGGGGAAAGAACAAGGGGAGTATGAGGAAGAGCGAAGTAGAAGAAGGGGATTATAATGACGGAGACGAAGAGGATGGACAAGGGAAGAAGAAGAAGAAGAAGAAGAAGAAGAAGAAGAAGAAGAAGAAGAAAGGGATTATAATGGCGGAGACGAAGAGGAACAAGGGAAGTATGAGAAGAGGAAGAAGAAGTTGGCGAGAATGAAAAGGAGATTACGAAGAAGGGGGAGAGGAAGTACAAGGGAAGAAGAAGAAGAAGAAGAAGAAGAAGAAGAAGAAGAAGAAGAAGAAGAAGAACCGCTCATGACTTTTAATTCCGTCCTTGTGTCTAACATGCCTTTCGAATAATCCCACTTTGAGAGTAGGATATATTTAACATCTTATAAAATTGTAATAAAACCTTTTTTTCTAACGTAATTTGCCCAAAACTACATAAAAACTATTGACGAATTTTAGAGATATTTTCAACTTTAATCCTTGTCCTAATAGCGACCTTATGGTAATCGCAGCAAATTGAATTGGTTTAATTAATTCTGAAAATGATACTCGGGTTTTTATTGCATGCCCAGATTCACGACAAAGCTCCTGAGTTTTTAAGTAGCGATGATTCATGCGTAATATTTGCCCATTATTTAATGTTGACATTTCCAGCCAGCCATCATTTCTTTAGGGCCTCTTTTTATTATCATCGCTAATAAAAGACAGTGTAGCATATCTATTTTCTGCTTGAAGGAGAGCAGATTCTAATAGCTCTTTTTTTAAAAAAAAAAAAATAACTTCAGCAGTTCTTTCTGCAGGAAATTGTTAAACCACTTGTCGCACCTATTTCTGAATCCACACACACACACACACACACTCTCTCTCTCTCTCTCTCTCTCTCTTTCAAATACACACACACGCAGACACACACACACACCACTCATAACAGAATGAAAAAACATCCAACCTACACAATGCTCTTTTCATTTTATTAAGATTTCTAGTCAGCGTTCGTTGATTAATTCTTCCCCCCAACTCCAACTTTTCTTTGCTGTCTACGAACTGCAGCATTTTGTATCTAAAGGGCTTTTCAGGTATTTTGCGGGGGTGGACAAAAGTTCCAAATCTGCAGAGAGATATTAAAAATTAAGAATTCCATAATTTTGGGTACATCAATCTTCTTGAAAAGACACTAGATAAAATTTCTTATTTTTTATTCATATCGTTGAAAATTATTCAACTTTTTAACAAGAAAAATCTCAAGTTGATGTTAAAAATTGCCGTAAAACATTGTTGATTTATTTGAGATGGAATGATCTATTATGACAGGTCTCTAATGCATATTTAGATATGTTGCATTAATTTTCATTTTTCTGCTTGCATATAATCCATTATTATACAAAACTAGCAGCATGGCCCGGCGTTGCCCGTGCTTGATTCAAAAATCGTACGACTCATACAACAATCGCTATCACTTGACTTAAAATAGTTTTGCTCTTCCTTGCCTTTAAATGAGTGCCCTTTGCCGTGCTGATGTTGCTACATGCCTTACTTCTTGCCTATCTCACACTGCGAATTTTTTCTAAGCTCTATACTAAACATTAAATCTGTTACGAAAAAAAGAACTAAAAAAAATGAACACAAAACGATCAGCTTTAAAAAAGGACTCGTAACTGGAAAAACTGAATGAAAAAAGAATGTTAGCAACAAATACTTTTTCACACCCAACCCAGTTCTGCGGAATCAGAATCAACGTTGAGTTTAAGCAAGCGAATGAGCCAATTGGAGTAAAGTGCCATGCAGATTTAAATTTTCCCACTTGTGACGAATGAAGCTATCGATTTTTTTGCATGGTAGCATGCTAGTTAACATTCGTGTCAGTCAGCTGTTGGCTCTCACGCTGGCCAATGGGATCTTCCTGCCTATTCGTGGCAGCCAGCTATAGGCTCTTACTCTGGCCGGTAGAAAATAGCCGCAAACTACATGAAAAGTGCCGTAGAAGCATGAAAAAATCAATTATTTCCACTATCGATGGGAGTTGGGAAAGGCAAAGTCAGTCTAGGCCTTCCCGCTAACTTGGAGCATGTGCATATAAATTTTGGTGCAAATCAGTCGAAAATTAAGGCCGTGCATTCGTTACACACACACACACACACACACACACATCCTGCCTTTTATAGATAGAGATTAGGTTATAATAAAAGTTGCATTTTATTTATCCTGCGCAGAAAGAATAAAGCCTTCCGTTTCAGATTTGGACTATATAAGCACTGATTAGCACAAGTTTTTTTTTCTACATCAGAAAATGTAAATGAGGGGGTGGGCCCGAATCATCGATCCAGGGGTATCATAGATTCGGAGGGTACACGAAACCCTTCCACCGGCCCTTCTAAGCACGACTTTCTTTTTATGTGCCATGTCCTTTCAGGACGTAGGTGATCATGGCTCTCCACCCTCTCTATCCCTTGCAGCTCTTAACATGTTCCTTCCCTTTGCTTCCTCCTCCCAGACCACGTTCTGTCATCCACCTGCTCAAGCTCGTCAGGTATGTCACCCGTTGCTTTCCCTTGTCTCTCTTTCCCTCTATTCGACCCGTGAGTATCAGATTCTCCAGGCCCTTCTTCCTCATTATGTGTCGCAGAAACTTCAGCTCCCTGTTTCTGATGTTAAGTATAAGCCTTCTCCTTGTTTGTAACTTCTCTAAGACCCCATCGTTTTGAACATTCTCGGTTCAGGATATCCTTAGCATCCTTCTCTAGAACCACATCTCCGTCGCCTCAAGTCTCTTCTTCATCTTTGAGGAAATCGTCCAATATTCGCTACCGTAAAGAATAACAGATCTCATGTAAGAGCTTAGTATTCTTTTCTTTATTACCAAAGAAATCCTCCTGACTCGCAATACTCTGCCCAGCTTTTGAGATGTGTCCTTGGCCATCCCAATACTTCTACGGATCTCACTGTCGCATTTACCGTCCTCTGTCAAGACGCTTCTGCGTCTGGTTGATTCTAGTGTTCCCGACCTGCAAATCATATTTCGGGCTCTTCTTCAGTGCCTATTGAGAGACGTCTCTAATTTGTATTTTGATACATTGTATTTATTTTCAATTAATCTAGTTGAATTTTTCGTCTATATTGCATATAATTCATTATTGTACATAATTAGGTTACAATAAAAAAATTCGATTTTATATGTTTACTACATTATGAAAATCGAGATGAAGTAGAGTGGGGCCTTCGTATCATAGATTGGGGGGCGTATTATAGATTCGGAGGGGGTACTAGACTCTTGTACCGGACCTACTAACCACGACTATAGAGCTTAGACGACCCAGCTATTTACATCATAGCTTGGGAAGAAACAATGGTTTCATGCCTTTTGTAAGGGCATGAGTGCAAAAATAAACGCTGAAGGATAATTTATGAACTGTTTTTGTCTTTGTTTTGTTTAAATCACCCTCGGAAGATTTATAGCCGCAGTTTCTAAATTCCAATATTGTAAACCTTGACGAGGTCAGGGTAGATGTCAAAATGAGGGCTGATTTTACGGAGTTGACAAAAAGGATGAGCCCAAAATTCAAATTACAAATCAGAGATACAAAAGTCAAAGAAGTAAAAAAAAAAAATTAAATATCTGGGAAGTGTTTTAACAGAGGACAGAAAGTAAGATGCTGAAATCCGAAGAGGTATTGATATAACCAAAGATGCTTTCCAAAATCTAAGCAGAGTACTAAGAAACAGTAAAATGTTCTTGCAAAAAAAGAAAAGTATTGAACTGTTATGTAATATCAGTCCCACTTATATGACAGTAAAGGCTAGACAATCTCCTCACAGATGAAGAAGAAATTTTAAGCAACAGAAACAAAGAAAAGAGAGCTGAACTGTTATGTAATATCAGTCCTCCTATATGGCAGTAAATGCTGTACAATCACCTCAAAGATGAATAAGTGACTTGAAGCAACAGACATTTGGTTCTACAGAAGGATGCTGGGGATACCATGACCCGAAAATGTTAGCAACGGCGATGTTTTAGAGAAAAGAATAAAAAGAACACCATAAAGAGACTGTTAAAATTTCTAGGACACATAATGAGGAAAGAAAGCTTGGAAAATTTGATACTCGCGGGAGAGATAGAAGGCGAGAGGGCCGGAAAATAACAGTGGAAAACTCACCTAAGGAGCGTGTGTAAATGGTTGGCAAAACAGGGTTTAGGAGAGATATCGAAAAGGAAATATTTACTCAGCGCCATAATGGAGAGACCCTTTTTAAGAGCCATGATTGCCTCCGTCCTGAAGGGACACAGTACAAAGATGAAATTTTAGAAAAAAAAATGGCGAAAAAGGAAACACATCAGGAGGAAACAGCTGAAATTTCCTGGACACATAAAGAGAAAAGAGGGATTAGAAAATCTGATCCCTACAGGGCAGATTGAGAGCCAAGGGAAAGCAGCACATAGCCAACTTAGTGAGCTTGAGTAAATGGATGACAAGAGAGGGTTTGGGAGAAATAAGAAAAAGAGAAAATTTATTAACAGCTAGAAAGAACAGGAAATTGTGGAGAGCCATGATCAGAAATACTAAGATCTTCGGTTGAGCTCTTGAGATGAAGGACATATTTTGTAGTTTTCGTGTTTCTATGTTGGAAGGTTTTAATAAAACAAGCGTATAACCTTGAAGGTTGGTCCAATTAGAAACACCCTCAGGTCGAATCACCAACTCTGTTCATACTGTTCCCCATGTATATAAATACAATTCCAAAAAAACACCTAACTGGCTAACATCGGGCAACTGACAAGTAAATCTTTGATACTGAACAGGCTATTTATTGAAACTTATCTTAATTGACCAAAGCAGGGTATGTATATGGTAAGCCCTTCAATCAATTAAGACTGGAAGAGTTTGGCTTTTCTTTTCCTTTTTTTCTATTTTTTTTTCTTTTTTTGGCACCCAATAAAAGGCCAAAGGCAGATGCTTCCTCAATGATATTGGTGTGTGATAGATATCGGCTCTGAACGAGGAATCGGAAAGCCGAGTTCGAATTTCAATCGTTCGTTACATTCAGGTACGCGCAAATACCCTTGGGCTAGGGATGAATCTATCAGTTCTCCATCCAGCTATGGCTTTAGTACCAGGGTAAACTGGGTTCTATAACTTTGATTGGCAACCAGTTTGCCACAGAACTAATCTTCAGCCTACTGCGCAGAAATATTCTGCCTAGATAGTGCTGAATCGAAAGAGACATGATCACCGAAGCCTGTATCACGTATAACAGACTGAATATGCTTGATGGAGGACAACCATAATACGAAATCTACGGATGAAAACGAAAA